AATGTGTTCTGCAAATTAGAGCTCTTAGCTTACTTCCACGTAGATAACTACTAGTGCTAGTTTTTGGCAAAACTTCAGCTTAGATTTTGAAGTTTTACTGTTTGAGTCATGCAAAGCTGAAGAGCAGCGAGGTCACTAGCGGAGTCCTGTGCCTTGAAATAGCGCTGCTTGGGGGCCCCGCGTTCCGGCACCGCTGCCCGCGTGCGGCACAGGGCCCATGGCGGCCGGTGTCCCCATCCCGTGTCCGGGATCACGCGCGCGCTCCCAGCTGGATGCCCGAGGCCAAGCAGGGCGCCGGGTGCCGCAGCRTCGATGTGACTCCTTTGCTGTTTGGAGGAAGAAAACACCTGGAAAAGAGCAATGTGGTGGGAAGGAGAGAACAAGATAGTTTTCCTGTTTGTGATCCTTCTTCCTGTTTTGTACTAAAGATATTTAGCTGTTTCATAATTTAACCTTTGGGCTGAGGAAAATKTCCAGGGAGAGAAGGCTGGATGAAAGGGCGAGAGGAGCCAAAGCAGAGTAAGACCTTGGTGCCAGCAGCAGAGTCCAAGAGCAGCTGCCGGCTCCTGCGCCGAGGGCTCCGCCACGCTCCGAGAGGAGCAGCAAGTCCGGAGCTTGGCGCCTTTATCCCCAACTCAGCCGCCCATTCCTGGCTGGAGATGTGTTGATGGTATTACAGGAGAGGGATCTATGTGTGTTTTTCTTGGTAACAGTTCGAGGGAATGCAAACAGAAGGGTAAATCCCTCTCAAAGAGCAAGTGTAAATTCTCTCCTCTTTCCCGTCCCTCCTGCCTTCCTTCCCCTGCTCCGCTTGCACACACGCACACTATTGCCTTTCTGTCTGAGCTTGAGCCAGCAGCCCAAGGAGGTACCTTTCAAATATCTATAAAAGGCAAAAGCTGGAGAGGCGAGGGGGACTGTGATACGTAAAAGTGAACAAGATGCAGGCAGATACAGCTGAGCTGAGGTTGACAGCTTCTTCAAAGGGCAAATCTCTGATAAGGAGTTTCTAACGTAAATCTTCTCTATTGCATATCACTTTAGCTGCATGCTGTCAAAMCCAAAAAAGCTGAAATGGTGCTTTCTACTAGTTTCTTAGATGACTTGCTCACTTTTACATCAGCAGTTTGTACTCAAAATACTGCATTCGAAATAATTAATTCCACTGCTACTTTGATCACTCGACGATCTGTGGGTGAGCAGCTTGTCATATTTTCGCCTAGCTCAAAAAGAAGCAAACAAGCCTGTTTCTGTAGCTGTGATGGTCTCATGATACGCTGGTCTCATGATACAGGCGGGACAATGTTTGGCAAGAGCGGCTGTGCCCTGTGCTAGACCAGCTGATGCGCCTTGCGCCTCGGAGGAGGAGACAGGCTGACAGGCACACAAGGCCTCTCTCAGTCGAAAACAGAAGCAGCCAACCTTGTTGTGTAAGAAATGTATTTTTGAAGCCTACACAGGCTTTTGGCGAGCTTGATTCCCATGACATTTGTTGCGTTATTTGCCCTTGAAAAGGAGCAGTTTTACTTCACAATTAGGTACTTGATCTGCCTGCAGTGTTTTGTAATTACATGTTTTTATATTTATATACATGTATATATTTAAACATTAAAATTTTATCTAACTATGTGTATAATAGCTTCATTTAAAAACAATTCATTCTTCTTTCCCTGAAATATCTTTCCAGTAACAAGCAATATTAGCATGAGACAAATGCTTAAATTGCACAACCTACTGGATATATGACTTCTCTGACTTCATCCATTTGGATTTTATCACAGAAGAACTCTCTAGTGGTGGATAGTTGGTAAAAATCAGTGACATGACCTATTAGCACCTATAACATATAACATAGATGTAGCGTAAACCAGTTGCACACTTTTTAGAGTGTGCAACTTTTTTTTTCTTTTGTGGGATCTACATTGGGCACTGTGGAATAAAAAGCAACATCTTCAAACAAGAATGCCCAAAAGGGGAGAAAGGAGTTTAAATTTGCATGAATGCTGATTTGCACATGTGCACACTCTCTTTTAGAGGCCCATTTTTGGAAAGGGACGACTGAAGAAGCTCTCTCCATCACATCTATAGTGCAGTGTTCTTCTGCACTTCAGTGGGGCAGTGTACGGCTTTCATTGCAACGACAAATACTGAAATGTTAAAAATAGATCAAGCTTTAAGAATCCCAGATATTTTCAAATAACAAAGAGTGATTTATGTGGGCTCATTTTGCACTTTGACAAAATAGAGGCTCTTTTGTACTATGATTAGCAAGGGTGCTGATGTCAGTTCTCTTGTCTAGCTTTAAGCTTTATTCCTCTGCTAAATTGTGCTTTGTGCTGTAATCCAGAGAACCTTTGTATCTGCGTTATTAGTGTGTAGTTTATGGAATTGCATTTGTTTTTGAATATAATCTGTGCCAGTTTCAGTGAGTGTGACTCATTATATGACTGAAATAAACACTCACATATGCACTATGTGAAAACTCTTCAAAAATAGTAGCAGGTGCTGGTAGGATAAATTCAGTGTTTTAAATACTTAATAGTTGCTATTTTGTAGCCTACGGTCTGAAAACAAGTTCTTTTTAGCYATCTGAATTCAGAAATTTTAAGTAAGACTCCTATTTACTTATTAATACTCAACAGAAGTTTCTAGGCTTGATGATAAGAACTGTTTTGGTTCTCTGATACTGTGTTAGAGTAAACTTCCAAAAGAGGCAGATTTGATTGGTTCACAGTTGATTTTTTTTTTTTTTTTACCTGAGTAATAAAAAAGTATCAAGGACAAATATATCTTGCTGTTCAGTACATTTTTTTTCCCCCTCCCTCCTGTGCTATCTCTAATCTCATTCCTGCTGATTTAGGCTTTGAGATTTTCATCTGGACAACTSAAGGCTGAGGTTAAAGATAGCCTGTTTTTTAAAGTAACAAAGGTTTGTGGTTCAGTTCAGAACACGTATCTGTGATTGAGCTTGCCTGGAGAGAACGCCTCCAATATTGAAGTTTCCTGTTATCCCAGAATCTGAGCTGTCAGTTGATTTGGAAACAGGAAACAAAACAAACTTTGGCAGTGTTTTGGGGCCAGAGTTATACAATGCTTATCAGCAGTGTTATTTCTTAAAAGATGCTTGTAATTAATATCGCAATTGAAGGTGTTTTTTGTTCAGTCTTCGACTCTTGAGCTTTACAGGTCACCTGGTTGAGCTCATGAGCGTGATGGAAGTCTGTGCTGCAGAACTGAACTGGAGTTGCACAGTTCACTATTTAAAAGCAGATACTGCATTTATGACAATAAGCATACTTAATATTGAAAATACAGTATAAAAATTGCCTTTAAACCTTAACCTCTAAAGGCTTAGTAGCTAGCAAACAGCTTGCCGACCTTAAGTAAGCTGTCTGGCGTTTTTCCCTTTCTTCCATTTTCTGTATTATCTTTTCAAAGCGGCTCCTGAAGCCTGATYGCCCGGGCAGGCCCGTGCGCCTGACAAAGAGGGGACTGTGAGAGCCGCTCCGTGTGTCCCAGCTGCCGGGCGCTGGGGACCGGGAGCTGTCGCGCCGAGATGGCAGCGCAGCCCCGAGTCCCGCTCCTTCGCACCCTCCCTCCGCTAGCTGGTTCTTGGAGGTAATGGCTGCATGGAAGGGAAGCGGGAACTCCCTTGCACCTCAGGAATGGCTCGCTCTTTTCCCCATGTATAGTAAGAGACTTCCAGAGCTGGGTCTCGGTGAGTAAAGGCTGCCATGCGTCTCGCCTCTTCTGGCACTGCCTGTGTTGACCCCTTTGCTCATTGAGCCTCTTGTCCTGTCTATGTCAGCAGGTGATCTGGATTAGCCAAAATGTCAATT